TACAGTTTTTCTAAAGCGTGCTGGCTGGGGGCTTGCTGCTCTCTCCAGTTTGCTGATATTCAAGTGTATCAGGTGGCACACAGGGACGCTGCAGGTTGGCCCCTCCCCTTTGAGGCAGTCAACCTGCAAGTGCCTTCAGCACTTTATGCTGTGCTGTGGTGGATATCACAGGGTTGGAACAATTTTGCCCCTAGCTATTGGTTCCTGACAGCAGTGTGGTTCAGCCCAAGCTGTTCCCACCAATCCTCTCTGGGCCAGGGGCAGTTGACTGATGCCACCATGGCACCAGGCTCTGCCCTACTCCAAGATGTCTTCCAGTCAGCCTCCCATGTCAGAGGACCCAATTTCCAGCACTCACTGAGAGCCAATAAAGCTCTCTACATTGGCTCCACTCCACACTGTGCCACATCCTCCCACCAAGGGCCTAGGACTCACCAATTCCTGTTATCAGCAGCCACGACTTTGGTGCAATCTTCAATCGTCTGACTCCACGGCACACCCAGCACAGTGTGAATGGGCCTCAGTGAGCATGTTGGGTTCAGCCCTCCACCCACGCTTTTCCTTCCACTTTTTAATTTTATTTTTCTTTCAGTTTCCTCCTGGGTTAGTGAGAATCATTCTCCAATCCTCTGGTCCTCTCCATGTTATCAGATTCTAGCATCTGGGCTTTTTTCCCGGAGAGGTTCTCTATCCAGCTTCCTAGCAAGACGTCATTTTTTTTTCAGTAATTGCTTTTTAATTTCCCTGCAAATTCTTATTCGGGCCTCTGTAGACAGTTTATATTGTCACCATTCCCCACTGTAATTTTTATAAACAACAATTGTTTTGGTCAGTTGATTTCTGATCATTTGTGAAACTGGAAACATAGTAATGAGCCCATGCTTCTAACCTCATTGCCTGTGTTTATATAGAATCCTTACCACGGATGGGCTCATTGAGGACATTAAGTGATGAAGCTACTATAAGAAGCCTTACTGCCACTGACAGCGGGAAACCTAAGAAACCTGCCAGTGGATCTACAACATGGAAATGGCAAGAAAAATCAACTTCTTGATGTGAAAAAATCAGGCAGATCCATGGCAGGGCTGCTGATGCCTGTGGATAGGAGGCCCACATCTAGTTTATGTTTCCACCTCTTTCTTGAAACTCATTTTGTTATCGTTCTCTGTAATAAACAGGGTCACATATATGCAGAAAGTTTGCATCTATAGAATTATCCCACTATGCGCAGCAAACCCCTTCTTTCATCAAAGAGAAACTGAGTCAGAAGCAGTAAGGAGTAAAGTGGTGATTGCCATGCCCTGGGGGAGGGGCAGTCCAGGTCAGACTTCCACTTTGCTGAGATGAAAAGTTCATCACAGCACAGGCTGTTTCTTCTTTACTCTGCAGTGGGGGGTCTCCCTCTGAAGAGAGTAGCCACTGTGAAGTCCTGTATCATTTTCATTATTTTGTTGGGTTGGGTTTTATTCTTTGTTTTGTTTTGTTTAACTTTATTATATGTGATGGCATGGTAGTTATTTCAAAGATACCAAGATATATTATGGTAGCCATTTTGGAGTTACTATTATCTTGTTTTGATGTCCTTTACCATATTCATTGTTTTGTTTTTATTGGTTTTATTTTGTTCTGTTTTGCTTGACTTTTACTATGTCTGAAGGTATCTGCCGTTATTTTGAAGACAAGGGGGATTATGATAACCATGGTTGATTTCTTATTATCTGTTTTGAAGTCCTGTGTCACTTATATGGGTTTGTTTAGATTGGCTTTATTCTGCTTGGCTTTATTCTCTTTAAAATAAAAATTTTAAAAAGTTATTCTTTGTTTTTATGAATCTATTTAACTTACTACTAATGCACATAAATGAATTATTTCCATTCATCTTCATGTATAAGTAGAAGTGAAGGAAAACCTTTCTATTTTTTGCCAATCCAACTGGTAGTGATTTAAGGCTATCTCTTAATATCCAGTGTTGGCAACAGTATGGGAAAATAGATGCATTCAAACTTTGTTATAAAAGTGTAGATTTGTGAATGGTTTCTAGAAAAAAATTTAACAGATTGAATCACCACAAAATTGTTTGCCTGTCTGCCAACAATTCTCTTTTGAGAGCTTTATCTTATGAAGATAATTGGGCGAGCACTCGTACTGATTTTACTCATAGATGCTCATCACGTCAGTGTAAAATATCAGAAATAAGTTATATTTTCATCACTGGGAGACAAATTAAATAGACAAATTCTTTTAATGACTACCATAAATTCATGTAAATGACATCTGCTTATACATATTAGAATGGACCATTTTTTGACATACACTCTCAAATTCCTCTACTAAGAATTAGTCACGTGTGATTTAATATAATAACTACGTTTTCAAACATGCTTTGCAGGTGGCATGCATGGTACTAAGTGGCATGTATGGTACTAAGTTCAATACAAGAGAATATGAAAGGAAAAATGTTAGCAACTTCAATGCCCTGTGTTTACAGCAGATGGGCAGGGCTTCCAGTTCTCTGCACCCTGCCCTTGCAGTTGAAGCTTGAGGGTAGCACATCAAACTTTCAGAGTCAGGCTACACTTCACCTATGAACCTCCACTTCCTGAAGCCACCCTGCTTGTGGAATCCCTGCCTATCGTCTAAAGTGTATTGTTGTGTATCAAGCATAGGTGGTGAGAGATTTGGAGTAGATAGGAAAGTTGGAAAAGTAGATTTTTGGCAGGAGGGTTGAATAGGTAGGATTGGTTCATATAGTCCTGTACAGTGTTCACCAAAGAGTGAGTAGGTATGGATGCTGGAACACAAAGTATGTTGGAATTTTTGGTTACACTTGTCCAAGTTGCATAGCACTTTGATGACACTGCTTTTTAAAAATCAAGAAAGTGTAAACCATTTAATTTAAGGGAAAAAGGAGAATATGTGGAAATATACATTTTAAGGACTACATGTTAAAATTGAGAATATTTAAAAGAAAATAATCCAGACCTGAAGATCATCCATAAAGGCATCTTTCTCAGTTGTTCTGAGTAGTGCTCAAATGTGCAGGATCTCACTGTACAAATCTGAAAAGGGACTAACAGCAAGTGTGTTGCTCCGTATTAAGTTGTGGGGACATCACTATGCTTTACCAGAGACATGACAAGCGATCTCACACATGGATAATGGTCATTAGGATGAATTATTTTCTAATAGCTGTTTCAATGATGTAGAAATATGTTCTGTCTCATGGAGTAGACCTATAAACTTTCCCAAGGTAGATGTGACTTTTATTTTCATCTTTTACACTTTGGAGGAGGGTTTAACTTGCACAAAGCTTGGCCCCTAGCAGGAGTTAATGAGATGGTGAGAAAGATGTAATTATGAAGATTTTTCTTCCTCTCAAAACTATTCTATTGATAAGATTTTCAGGGTGCCTTTAGAAAGATAATAGATACCAAGTAAACAGTCTGGTAAATCGTACTGATACTATAGTAAGTATTAGTCATTACGATCTTTAAACTTTTCAGTGTTTGTTTCAGAAATTCCACTTTGAATAATTTATCTTCATAAAAGCACCTGAAAGAAGGTAGAGTTTCATATGCAAAGATGTGCAGGATTATTTACATTATAAACATTCTAGAATCTACTCAGAAGCATGACAGCAGCATGCTAGAAAATGTTTGCATTCATAGATTACATACCCATTGCAGATTCTTACAAAGCTTGTAACGCCATAGAAAACGCTTTACTATTTGGTTAAGTGCAGAAAAATGTGGAGGTTCTGGTTGCATTTGACCTTTGCTTTCCTTCCAATTTACTCTTTTATAAGTTGTCAGAGGAATCCTTTTATGCATGTGGCTGAACTCTTGTTGCTCCTCTGTCCAAATAATCACTATGGCTTCCTTGTTAGACAGAGTGAAAATTAAAATACTTGCAATGGACCGTGAACTTGCATGTGATCTGGGCTGTAGACTACCCTCTCTTGATTTCATTTCTCATGGTTCTTCCTTGGCTCATCTGCCTGCCTGCAGCACTGCTCCAGGAACCACAGTGATGGCCCCTCCTTCCGGGAGACAAACGCTCATTTCCTTAGAGATTTCCCTACTGCTCAACTCATGGAAGCCTTCCCCACCATCTCAGTTCTTTTCCCCTTTCCTCCTGTGTTTTACCCATGGTCAGGTGATTAGTCCCTGTGTATTTGCAGTTTACTTCTTAACTTTCCATCCCCTCCTCCGGAACCTCAGTTTCTTGCCATTAGGGTTGTGTGTGAACTGCTCAGAATAAGATCCCACAGGGGCTGAAAGGAGGGTTGGTGAAGGATGAATTCATGGCTAGAGAGTAACTTTTATTATTACTTTTCAGAATCCTCTAAATAAAAGGAACATGTAATATTTGAAATTTTAATTATATAAGTAACACATGAATTCACTCTTACTGAGAAAAAGTCCTGATAATACAAGTCTTCTCAAATCCACATTCTTCCACTCAAAAATAGGGGCCCTATCTTCCCCAAAGTCAAAATTACCAGGAAAAGGCAAACATTTCAAGTTGATTCAGGACATCTAGACAGTCATAAAACCACGAATAAACACATTCATGAAAGAGAGCCTCCTGAAATGCTTCAGAGAGAGACAGCACTGTGGGCTGCCTGTGTTGGAAGCAAAGGGGAGGCACTGAGGGGAACTGATGGCAATGTGTCTTTCACTTAAAAGTTTTCTAAAAATTTCAACATTCACGATCTATTTTTGTCACTACTCATACAGCAGACTGTTCTCCTTCTAGCAGATATTTAGCTCTTTCCTGATTTTAAAATGCTGTGTGAACATTTTTTTCCTTCCTTTGGTGCACAGGAAACTATTCCTCTATGACAACACCAAAAAAGAGACTTTCTGGGTCAGTGAATGTACACACATCTAAGCACAGTAGACATCACTGTATTTTCCTATGAAAACTGAATATGTATATATATAAAAGGGCACAGGTGAGTTGGAAACACTGTGAGGCTCACGGCTGGCTGCACCTACCTGACAGGTCATTGGTCCGATTGTTGAGACAGTAGCAGAACCTTGTGGGGAATTTGGCTGGGTCCACTGTCTTCAGATTAGAAACTATGAAGAAAAAGGCCTTGCACAGGATCCTGACCCCCCGGCCACCCTACGGCCCCTCGCCCGCCACTGTCGCTGTGAGGAAGAGGCAGCCCCTGCTCACTGTTGTAGATGGCCAGGGAAACCTTGTGGAAGGCAAAGGAGCTGTAGGAGGTGATGCTCAGCAGGGAGAAGAACCGCCTGCTCTCTGTCCAAAGAAAGTGAAGAGAATGAACACCACATCTGCCTGCTGAGAAGCAGCAAACAACGATGCTGCAAGCAAGCAAATAAGCAGGTCACAGTCATCAACAGTATCATCAACATGTGACAAAAATCAACACCCAAATCACAGAAGTTACAGATAAGAAAAATACAAACAAACTGAAATCAGAAATACAAAAGCAAACCAAACCCAGACCACATGCTTCGCTTGGCCAGATGTTCTACCCAGAAGCTCAAGAAGGTGTCTTAGTTTCCTGGGGGTCTTAGTTTCCCAAGGCTGGTGGCTCATAGAAACTCACGTCTTCACAGTTTTGGAGGTTGGTGGGAATCTAATCTAGGAAGATGGGTGGGTTTAGGAGCCTGAATTGTCATGAACATCTATAGTAACTTTTATTTGAATAATTTTATACCACATGAGGAAGGAGTACAGGGGTTGAAGCTTGGGTTTTGATACATACAAGTCACCCCATGGCCCATTGTGCCTCAGGTCCTGGGAATAGCTTTATAGAGACCTTAAAGCCATACACTGGGCAGAATCCTGGCTCTGTGTTACCTGAGCTCTTTGGGAGAATGAGGTGTGCACTTGAGCTTGAATACCCCCTACTCAGTTTCCAGGTGGTGTCATCCTTACCACCTGCTGTGGCACAGATGGTTACCTTTTAAAGCTCTGCTCAGCATCCTGTTTACAACATCTGTCAGGTTAAGTGCTGACAGGTCAACAGACCTTGCGGGCAGCTCTGAAAGAGATTGAAGGACAGCATTGGAAGAGGTCTTTCCACAAACTTTAGGCTGATAAACTTGCCCCTTGGATATATGTAGAACATGTACCAAGTGTCAAGCACAAGAACGCTAAGACAAAAAGCAGTTCCTATCAGGAGCCCAGGAGGCCGCCACCAAGGGCACACAGACTGACAAAGAAAGCACTTATTTCAGTGATTGTTGTATCTCTGAATTTGGGAAGACTGGAGATTGGTTGGTGGGAAGCCACAAGGCATCGTGGGATTTCTCCAAGGCTCTGAAAGTAGAAGCAATACCCTGCCTCACATTGACATCTCATGGGCAGAGTTTTTAAAAATTCTACAATTTCAGTGTGTGGGCTCCATCCTCTAAGAGATCCAGGTTTAACAGGCTCAGGCTATGACTCAAACAGCAGTTTGAAAGAACAGAGTCTCCCCAGGTATTGGTAGAGTGCAGCCTTGGGTGGAGACACTGTTGGGTGAAGACCTTCTTCCTCCCAGCTGCTTCTTGAAGAGCTGGAAAAAACAGGTGAGCAGGTGGAAAGAGCAGCTGGTGCTCCTCTCTGCATTTTTTTTTTACAAGCATTTTAAACTGTTTTGCTTTTGTTCAGATAATAATTTGGGAGATGGTGTCATTCCCATGAGGGGCTTGGGAATGAATGCCCAGGACAGTGGGTGAACTTGCTTGGCAGCCCATCCCCTATGCTGTGGGAAGATGCTAAGCTGGAGACTCACCTGTGGAAGCAAGAAACGCCAGCCCCTTCTCCTTCCACTCTTCTTTAAGGACAGATCCTGGGAAGGCAAAAGTTTCCATGAGGGGAATGCAAGTCAACCTGAGCTCTGGGAGTTGGGAAAGCTTTGGAGGCTCTGGGGTTCAGCAGTGTAGGCTCACTGGGGAATGCCAAGGAAGGCAGTTCCAGGGTCCTCCTGAGCTCAGGCCTCACCTCACCTCACCTGAGCTCCTTGGACTCGGTGAACCCTTGACACCCACACTGTACTAGTTGTGAAAGCTGACTGCAGTACAGAAGCTCTAATCTGTCCAAGTCCTTCACTTGGTTGGGAAACAGCGGCTCAGACCAAAGAAGCAACTCAGGTAACTTTGTACAACTCCATAGTTGTAACCACAGGCTCAGAATCTGCATCCAGGAACTAGAGGAATCACCCTTCCAGATCCTCAGGCCCCTCACCTACCACAGTTGGCAAATTTCAAGCTATCAAATGAGAAAATTCCAGAGGCAATTTTAAAATATCAAAAGTATTCCATCCATCCATCCATTCATCCATCCATCCATCCATCTATCCATTCAACAGATACTCACTGAGGGTAGCAATACACCAGAAGTTGGGTGTGAACAAGTTAATCAGAAGTGATCTAGTCTCCACACAGAGCTTTGCATTCTGTAGCTTTGGCAGGAAGAAATTCATGGAGAATGACAGGTGAGGAGCATCAGCACTTAGAAGAGCAGGCGAAGTGAGCACATGCAGCAGCGCAGGTCACTAGCCTATCTGGTGGAGAAGGCCTCTTGCTGAGATCAGCTACCTCAAACTGGAGGATGTACAATCATGCTGCACCTACAGCCATCACTGCTGCAGTGACTAGATTTGTTTGCATTCAGATGGAGAGAGGAGTTCTGTAGACATTTTATAAAAGGAAGGACCAAGGTATGGAGAGTCTGAACAGCGCACTGAATGTTCCAGAATAAATCAGAGTTCAGGGCTTGGTGACTTACCTGTTGGACCAAGGGCAGCCCCATCTTTTTGCTTCTTAACACCTTTGATTCCAGGCACTGGAACAAAAGTCCTCATCAGTCAAATGAAATTCTGGAAGTGCTGCTCCCACAACTCACATCCTCAAAACTCATCTTGTCCAATGCTCCTTTGAAGGCACAGGAAACCAGGACTGAGAAAAGTTAAGAGATGTGTCTCAGGCCTGCCTCGGGCTCATGGCTGATGGAAAACTGAACAAAGCTGTCACCACACTCCTTCTCTGTTACTTTCTCCTGATTTTCACTTGCTTTCACGTCAATTACTGTGTTAAGAACACTTAATATAAGATCTGCACACAACACGGTGCTCTTCACTCTAGGCACCACGCTCTCCAGCGCATCTCTAAAACTTGTTCATCTTGCAAAACCAAAACTTTACCTGTTGAGCAACAAATTCTCCATTTCCTCCACATACATCCTGGTGGACATCTTTATACTTGCTGTATCTATGCCCTGGACGCTCTGGACATATAGCATGCTTGAGATCATGCTGGCTTGCAGCACAGAGCTGCTGCAGTTAGCGTGATATCCTCCACGCTGCTGCAAAAGGTAGAATTTTCTTCATTCTAAGACTGAATCTTATTTCATTGTCTGTGTGGAAATATGTGCTGCATTCTCTTTATCTGTACATGTACTGCTTTTCAAGCACCCCGTTGAAACTGGAACCAGATCAACTGTTGCCTGCTTAACTCAGCTTGACATTTTATAAGATATCAGGGTTCTTGATTAAATGTCAGAAATTCTCAGATCATAGGCAGGTGGGGGCCGTGACTCCCCTAACCCACAGTAAGGCTGCTGGAGGCAGAGAGGTTGTGTCACATCAAGAGGCAGGTTGTGACACACATGAATTATGAAACTGGCCCCAAACTGTCCAGCAATCTGTGCTGTGGCTCAGGGATGCCCTGCTCCACCTGGCACTGTGAGTGGCACTATACCTCTCCATCCACCTTGAATCAGCTGCTCTGTGATTTGAGGCTGGTACCCTTGGCCTTGCTGGGTGCTTGCCCTGGCAGCAGAGTCCCCACAGCAGGTGACAGTCAGGCTGACCTGCATTCCAGACCTCCAGCTGCAGGGTGCTGGGCTTTTGTGATTCTTGTTCTTTCCAGCTGCAGTGCTGGACACAGATCAGTCTTTCTGACCAAGCATCAGTCTTGAATAGTCTCTTTATCAAAGAGAAACTATTTCTGCCACCCCCTGTTTAAAATTACAAGTTCTTGGGTGGACTTGGTAACAATCTTTGAAGTTCAAACTATACACATCTTAAAAACCTACTTCTCAATGAGACATTATAGATAAACCTTTTTCAAATAAATTGCTGGTTACCTAAATTCATCGTTCTATTTATAAATAAAAAGATCTTTAAAATAGAAAGTACCTGATCCTCATTATACTTCTCCATGGTTAATATTTTATCACCATTTATCATTTAGCACTAATAGTTTAGGAATTATCTACATTTAAAGGGAAGAAAATTGGAATCTCAAACAGTAAAGATTTATGGGGAATTATCCTACTTAAATATATTGGCACAATTGGTACTCTCAGGGCAAGGGATGTGGCTGATTGAGTTGGGGTATGTTTACATTATATGCTCTTACATCTTTTGCCATTTGAATAATGTGGATGTCCCATGAAAAATAAAATTTAGAAAATAAAGATCAAATTCTACACTTTCAAAAAGAAGGACATTCAAAAAGATAACAACAAAATGTAAACGTAGTCCCTGACTCCTCTGTCCTTTATGTTACAAGATGCTCACTCTGTTATAGCACTGCTGACCTCATATCATCGAAAAAGGAAAAACAAAGAAAGATGAAGTTGTCACAAAGGTGATGATGGCAAACAACAGTATTTTCCACTGTAATATATTGTATCACTGAAGGACTGTCACGGTCTAAGTGAATTTAATAAGATCCTGTGAATCCAAGTATTCAATAAGCCATAAATAAGCAGCTCACAGAACCATTACTAGGATTGTCAGAGCGTTAGAGGCTCTGCTTATGACAGGAGATGGTAGGGATCACAGGAGTCAAGGAATTTGCCCAAGAACAGAAAGAGCTATGGGAAATCACTGCTCATTTACCTGCTATACCAGTCGGCAGGAAATTAATTTCTTTTTCTTTCTTGGCTTCTCTTTTACTGGCAGACACTAAAGTAAAATGGGTTTCATCAGAGGAGGTGTTATCCGAACATAAAGTCACAGAAAATTTAATTCAAATGACCTTTTATAGATGAGAAAATTATGACCTGGAATTCTGATATGATTTGTTCAAAATTTTCCTTTAGCTTGCTGATTCTTTCAATCATTACTCATTTAGTACTCACTGAAGAACCAGAGCGACACTAGAGACAGAATCTGCTAGAAGTTGTGTGTATTGAGGAGACAGACATAAAGCAGAGTGGAATGATAAAATACAGATAATGCTGAATACTTGCTTAACAAGATGGGGACTGAGGATAAGAACATGGACCCTAATCTCATCTCAACAGTCTAGAAGCCTTCCCTGAAAGGGGCTGCTGCACTGCCACTGTGAGGATGAACAGTATTTGGGAAGGATTTAGCTACCTGAGGGATCCTGATGCATGGAGACCAGCCTTATCCTAGGCCTGCCATTCACATATAAGGACCTGGAGGAAGGCTGGATAAGAAAGAAGGAGTGGACATTTGTAGGAGCTGGTGTAAGCAAGGGAAGCAGGTCCCATGGAGCGGTTAAGTCTCAGGAGCTCATCCCAAAGGAAAGTAGTGACTGAGTAACTCTGGGGGACAGAGCTGTGTGGAGAACACAATGAAGTGACATAATGAGGGGAGGTTATCAAGGCTGATGGTGAGTGGATTGTGAATAAACAATAAACATAGAGCTGTTTAGGACCTTCCTCAGTGGTTCAGGGAGGACAGGTTTGGGCAAGCATGGTAACAATGGAACTGTAGAAAGTTCTGTGGCATGATTGAAACTATCACAAAAAGTCAAGAGATAAAAGCAGACATGGAATTTATGATTGCCATCTTGATAAAAATCATTTCCGATTCTGGGTTGAAATGTTGACTAGTGAGATTCTTTTCTTTCCTTTCTTTTTTTTTTGTACCTGAAACTGAACTCAGGTCTTTGCTCTTGCCAGGTAGGCACTTGTGCCACTGAGCTCTACCCCTGGTTCAAGATCATTAAGAAACAATGAGTATCCAAAATTACATGTGTGGAAGAGATACTTACGGAGCTGAACAGATGCACCTGTGTTCCCAAGGGACAGGACACATGCCAGGGCCACACACAGCCTCCCAAGAGGACTGTGCAGCAGGAAGTGTGGCATGTCGTGATGCCCCCCGCCACCTGGAAGCAAACAGGCAAGAACTGGAGGAGACGGGCTGGATAATTAAGCACGCTGATGAAGAATATCCCTTGAGAACACTACATAGGAAGTCATCAAATTACAAGGTATGATAAAAATACAGTGAATATCTATTTCTTTTTGAAATCTTACAGTAAAAGCACATTGCCCTTCCTCCTCTGCGCCTCCCCTCACTTTGACTATACTTTTCCCATCATGCCACCATTTTCTGAAGCAGTTCTGGACGTCTCCCTTCATGAGTATCTGTAAGTCACAGAGTCCTGAATTGATTCAAAACATTTATGTTTCATGACCATTTTAACTTTGGGGAAGAGCCAGAAGCCACACCGTGCTGGATTCAGTGAATAAGACAGACAAGGCAGGCTGCCGTGTTTGTACAGGCCTTTCAGCTGGTTGGCACTCCACAGCACATAAAGACATGATCACATCTCATAAAGACGTGATGAGGATTTCCAGCACTGCTTCAGAAAGCGGCAAGAATTATGGGAGAAGAGAGCTTGAACTGATGGGGACTATTCCAAAGGTGATAAGTGGTGATATATTTAGTACTATAAGCAAGTTTTTAAAAGCATTTAGTATTCACTGTATGTTTTGACCACCCTTTGTACAACTGGAAACTAATTAAATCTGTACTAATTAAAACAGATTAGGATATGCTGAGATTTTAGTCCATATCGACTGTAATCTCTGCTCTACACGTTTGGGACCCTTGTAGTGGGGCTGGTGCCTTCTGGTATATCTCCATCTAGCAGCCCAGTAGCTGTGTCAGCCATAGGTCATAGCGGCAGTGGAAAGGAGAAAGGTGGAATGTGATGCACCAACTTTTAAGCACTTTGGTGGGAAGCTACATGTTCACTCTTAGAGCCTGTGCTAGGATGACATCCCAGTCCTGTGTGACTGGATGCAACCTTGGGACCTGGGACAGGGTTGTGTGCATGTATGGAGACCATCAGTGTCTCCTTCTAGGGTTTTCTCTCTGGATGGACAATATCTTCCAAATCAGCATCACAACACTCATACAGCAGAAAATGTTTAATGTACGAATACCACTGAGTGTTTCAAAGCTTTTCCATCTCTGCAGCTCTGCATGTCAGTAACTTTCCCCGGCATTTGCTATGCAGAATCAGCGTGGTAGTCAAAGCTGCAAAACTGATACTAATGAGAATAGTAGTGAGCATTCACTGAGCACATTTGTGAAATACAGAATGTTGTCCAATGCAAATTACCGCTTGATAGCTACGCAGTCTATCCACGTAGGTGTTTGTGTAATACCCATTTAACACACTGGGTGTCCAGACCTGCTTGGAAAGAGCCAAAATTTCTTTTGCTAGAATGCAAAAGAAATCTTGAAAGCAATTTAAGAGGGGAAGAAAAATGAAGAGAATGTGCACGGGGCTTGGGAAAATATTTCAGGAATTTTGCATCTGCATAGTGAATTGCATTTGGAGAACTTTTGCTCCATTAGGAACAGAATCAACTTGTATGATTTTCTTGAGATATCATCAAACATTTTAAAAGATTTTTAATGGTTGTGTGTACCTCATTGGTGTTTTACTAAATGCCAACCTAGATAAAGATCGACCTTACAAAGAAGAAAGAAGAAAGGTTTTCTTGGAGTTTTCTTATTCTTATAAATCTATTTACTCTCTGAATCTTAGTTTTTATTATCTAGGAAGTGGTGATAAGAGAATTTAACTCACAAGATCTTAGTGATGATTTAAGATAATGATTCCACAACACAACTCTGTAACCCTATAACACACTGTAACTCTCAGTTCTCACACTGGACATCTTGGTCAGTTTTGCAAAGCCCTAACAGACTACCATTGAGTGAATAATTCATGAAGAACATACATTTATTTCTCACCCTCAGGGAGCATGGACATTCTAAGATCAAGGTGCTAACATCTGGTGTGGGTCATTTTACTAAAACTCACAAGGTAGAAAGTCAGGAGAGCCACACCCACTCTCCAAAGGTCTGTTATAGAGGCTTTAATCTGGTCTTTGTAGCAGGGCTCTCATGACTACTTTTCCTGAACCCTCTCCCATGTCCTGTAATGATGCTGTTGCACTGGGATTGAATTTCTAACACATGAATTTTGAAGGACACCTTCCAACAAAAGCAGCAGGGATCACTGTCAGGCTGCTGACACAGGAAGGAACTCATTGCTGACTTGCCCTTTCAGTTGCTGAGTAATTTAAAAGAGATAGATGCCTGTCCAACATCCTTATAGAAGATGAGGAGACCGATAGAGAAGTAGAGAAACAGAGAGAAAGAGTCTGGTGAGTTCAGCACTTGGCATTCTCTCTAGCAAGAGGTCGTGGGCAAGTACTCTGTCAAGGTGTGCAAAGGTTCCCCACCTTGGTGCCTCAGTCACAGTGGAAACATTGCCTGTTTTCTGATCTGTGGGTGTAGAACAGACAGTCATGGCTGTCCAGAAGCTGCTTTCTGAAACTCAAAGAAGTTGTAAAGTAGTACCGTGCAGTCTCTGGAATAAAGTACAGACTCAGGAAACTTAAATCCTTTCTCATTCTCTCATCTTTTCTTACTTTTTTCCTCCTCTTCTCCTTCCTCTTCTGTGTCCATTCTAGGACCCAATGCCATGGCAGAGGCCCATGGCAAGAATTAATATAAATTATAGTGGAAAAAGTATTTATCTCTGTCTTCATAATGGATACAAATTCCTGTTTTATGCTTGCTTCATTATAATAACATGCTCTAAAATATTATTCTGAGACTATTCATATTGATTTTGTTTGTAGAGAAAAAAGCTATTTTATTTTCATGCCAGTTTTTACTTCTTGGCCATTGTTTAAAACCATATGTCTGGGATAACTCTGGTGGATTTAGTAAATATAAACAAAAGGTACTCAGTTCGATGTTAACATGAGATGGACAGTAAACAATATTTTAATATGTCTCAATTGAAACAACCCTCATCTAGAGAGTCAGAGTCAGAGAGTTTTACTGAAGAATTTTACAGCTATACAAACATACTGGCGAAATGTGGCCTCATGACAGAGCTGAGGATTTCTGGTCTCCCTCGATTCCCTCTCTTGCAATCCTGGAGCACTGTGGTTCTGTTTAGGGCAGGGAAGTAGGTAAACTTTACTCGGATCTTGCGTGTTAGTCACTATGATCTAGGTCTAACTGGAGCTTCATTCACTCAAAAAATAATGATTTTGGGTGTATGGCACAGTTGGATCTTTGGCATAATTGTTGCAAGCATCATCTCTGTGTTTGCTTAGTGACTCTGGCCATAGCCAGCTTTCTAGGTTGCTGAAACTGTGTGTCTTCTTGTCCTCGCTTGAGGCTGTCTCAAAGATTAAAGCATGTTGTATGTGTGAAATGCAGTGACCAGTGTCTGGCACAGAGCATGAGCTATCTGACTATTTAACAAATAAATGAAAGTGACGATACTTAACAAAAGATGGTATTCCAGCAGGCAAGCCAGATAATGTTGTCCATGTGATAGAGTTATATTCCTCAAAGTTATAGTCTGCAAGGATAGGATCGACTGTCCAAAAATTTTCCCTAAAACTGAGTTATTTCACTGCATCCCCATGGTTATTACTGTTATTTACAAAACATTGCAAAATGTTGCTCCAAGGGCACCTGCAGAGAAGTATGCCATCTAACACAGTGACAAGAGTAATGTACCAAGGAATCAAGACAAGTCACCTCAAAACTCGATACTTTGGATCATGAATTATTTTGAGCTGAAGGCCATAGAATTGGAAAGAAGCCTTTTGAGTTTCCCCTATGTGCATAAATTTCTACTAAGTGAAGACTGTCATTAACTCCTTCTCTCAGGGGAGTTTCACAGCCTTGAAGAAGACAGAAATTTGGCATCAACCTGGGCTCAAACAAGCCAATCTGCATAAAATAATCCTTATCTTTTGTTAGCTTCCCCATGTATTCACCTTCCCACAATGTACCACCTGCAGAGGCTCAGGACCTTTTTCCCACAAATTTATTGACTTTTTGTTAAACTGGTGGCTAAGCCTCCAAATCTGATTGCCTCTTGGAGATTTTCATTTCATTTCTGTGAGGTTTCCCATAAGCATAGAAAATAAACCTTTCACTTCTGTTAATTTATATTTTGTCAGCTCATTTTGCAGGGCCCCATGCAGTGAACATAATAGAAGAGGGGAACTAGGTCAGCAGTGCCACGTGTTAACCCTCCGCTTTGGGGCATGGTGTCTATTATTTTACCTGCACCAGCTTCCTGTTAGGCAGAGACACAGGCAAATCTGTTACACAGAAAATGTCCTGAGAATCAGGGGTAAAGCCCATCAGCTTATGGCCACATGACTCTTGAGTGGGATTTGAACTGTGGTCTTCTAGATACCAGAAAAATGTCTGTGTCCCCTTTCACTTTCTTCTATTGTGTAGAATAACATTGCAGTGTCCCTGGAGTATCTGATGTTGAAGAACAGATGGGTTATTGCAAAGCATTTCATTGGGCAGAGTGGGTCAGAACTCCAGTTGTACTCCCAGAAGAAGGGCTGAGAAGTGCAGGAGTGACCGATGAGACAAGAGTCTGCCCAAGGGCATTGCGAAATTAATTCACAACATGGTGTGTTTTATTAGCACCAGCTTTGGAACTGGGAACCAGAATGGTTGGAACTAAACCTTTGGAGTCTTATTTAAAATTTGTGTTAATTCCCATTAGCAAAGATCACAAATCAGCTGACCATTTAACCTGACAAGTAAACCTGCCTTTCTCACTGCACACTGTAGCTGACAGATGCCTATCAGATTCAGAATAATCACAGGATGCAGACAGGAGGAAAACCTCCCACCTGGTCCCTACAGCTCCAGTGAGTGCTGGGTTCTCTCCACACCTTATGCTGGTCCCTTTGCTCCACAACCTCCCAGGTCAGTGACCTTAAAAGTCAGAAGATTGGGGAGCTTAGGTGGTTCCTGGCTTGTGAGACATTTCTGGATTTTAAACTGG